GATAACGACCTCTTATTCCTCAGGAGAACCACCGATAGGCCCGAGGGCTGCAAATTCATGTCAGATGTCATGTCTTTGAGCGCATCCATGAATGCCTTCTACGAGAAGGCGTTGTATCTGTTCGGTGACCACAAGTACTGCAAAGTGGACGTCAAACACAGTGACAGAGCCTTCACGTGTCGAGTCGTCGATATCAGCGAACTCTTGGACTGTAACCAGAGTTCGGCGAAAGTGCCGGAAGTCATACCCCATGTCCCGCAACATCGAGTCAACCCTTCTTCGGCTCCATTCGCGTCAAACGTGGCGTCCATTCATGTGATCATTGTTTGCGTCCTTTGCTGTCAAATGCTTTACAATTAATTCATTGCTTCGTTGTGTTTGTCGTGAAAAGTGTTTTAACTTAACATTCAATTCAATAATAAATGATTTGTTCACATAATTCACAATTTCTATGACTATTACTGTAATCCAATTGACAGTGAAATGCATTTGTTTCACAAGTTTGCCATACATTTGACTCAAAGTTCAACTTTGAAATGAGTGAACAATAGACAGACAGACAGACAGACAGTGAGTCAGTAGGGAACTGGATATAAATCAGTGATGGCCAGACTCTCACAGGCAATACTGTACTGTATATACTGTAAGGGGAACTGAACTGTAATTTAAAAATATCCCCCCTTTTGACACTCCTGTGGACATCACTGACAGAGTAAAAGTACAGCAAAAGCCGACAAACAGTAAAAGTGTGAGAAATTGAGTGAAAGTATGAGTCAAACGAATCGTCCAATGAGTGAAGGCATCGCTTCACACATGACTCGCACTGCTATTACATTGAAACAGTGAACCAATGAGTGAAGCCCTGAATGGCAGACACACAGCACGACAGCCATAGACACGAGAAGCGGAAGAATGTTTGACACGAATGCTGACGAAGACATCGATCTCAACGAATCCGACATCCAGTTTGTGGACAACCATTGCGACACCGATTACGGCGTCTTCTGGGGTGAAGTGTCGGACAGAGAGAGACAGTTCGCCAAAGAGTTGGCACACATTGAAGACATTGAAGACAATAGCAGTGAGTCGTCCGACAAATGCAAACCATTGGCCGCGAGTGACAAACAAGTGGACAGTCCTGACCCGGAATTGAACGCATGGATTATGGATCAGATTAAAGACCATAAGAGTGACCACCAGTTGAGTGAAGAGAGTGGCTGTTCACAGACATTGGACTTAACCATCGATACGGTAGAAGACATCGACGCGAATGTCATCCAAAAGAGTGAATTGGAGACGAAGACAGTCATTGAGTTAATACCAAACGAATCGATTGGTATTGATGTCCAAAATGGAGACAAATTGTATGAAACTCAACCGATAGTCGAGACCATCGACAGCAACGGTCACGACATGGAGTGGACTCAAGAGAACCAATTGACAGATCTGTCGGTGCCATCAACGAGTCAACAGGAGGTCGCGGCAGCCGTTGCATCCATTGTCGACACTAATGAGTGCCAAAGAGTGGCCGACATATCACACCAAACGCAGCTACCAATTGACAGATCTGTCGGTGCCATCAGCGAGTCAACAGGAGGTCGCGGCAGCCGTTGCATCCATTGTCGACACTAATGAGTGCCAAAGAGTGGCCGACATATCACACCAAACGCAGCCATCGGTGGCGCGAACCGGCGATGCATTTGACTCGACGTTCAATTCAATTAGTAGTCAAATGCTGTTCAACGACACGACGAGTGCTGATCACAGCTTTAATCCCGATTTAATCGAAACCTATTTGATTAATGAGAACTTTCATCCCATTCCCGACAATACATTCAATGAAGAGTTTGATGAACACACTGTGGACCAGTTTTTCGGTGATTATCACTGAAACAATAGTCGCAAAAATTGTCAAACAGTTGACAACTGTTTTCATTTCATAAATCTATTAATTTTGTTTTGTTTTGTTTTTGACTTAATTATCGTACTTAAGAATACTATTCTTACAGTTAAACCATTGCTTGTGTTTTATTATCAGATTTCTTAATCAAAAAACTTCACACTTTTTTTAGGAATAACTTTTCATATGTCTAATTAAAATACAATGAATATGTATAACCATTACACTGTAATGAATCAAATACCGGTTTAAATTACTCGTTTTAAAACAATTGTAATTGTTTTTATTAAACTTAAGATTTAAATAAATATTTTTAGTTAAAACTGTATTGCAATTTGTATTGACTTGTGTCCCCCCACTGTCCCCTCATAACTGGTAACGTTGTCATTGAATGTGTAGCGCATAGAGTGCCCTCTCGTGTGAAATGATTGCTAACATTTCGTGAATCAGCATTTCTTGAGCACAAGAGGTATCACTGGATTCAGTGTCGAAGACATCGCATCTCAAGACATAAACCCTCGGCCCAGAAGACAATGGCATCGGCTGTACCCGCGAGACGTGTGGATGTGAGCGAATACCTCCACCAACAGCAACAACTGGCGGCCAACGCGGCGACCATCGAGTGGTGGACAGCGTTTGAGGAGTTGTACGCCAAGAGGTTGTGGCATCAGTTGACCACAAAGGTGTACGACTTCGTGAAGACGGCTCAGTACCCGCACCTCCACGAGTTTTACGACAACTTCATCGCCGACTTCGAGACCAAAATCAACGGACTCACGCTCATCGAGATCTGCGGTTATGTCATCAATCAGATCCCCACTCATGAGGCGCGCGTCGAGTTTGTCACCAAAATGAAGGACAAAGTGAAGGCCAACAGAGAGGCGGTCATCCTCTGCAACATCTTTTTGGGCCAATCGATGCTTTTGGCCAACGATTTGAAGGCCATTAAAGAGCTGCTCGAAGTGACCAATCAGTTGATCGAAGCGGAGACGGGCGTCACGTCCGTCCACTCGCGCTATTACCGGCTGTCCAGCGACTATCACCAGACAATGGCCAACCACTGCGAGTACTATAGGGATGCGTTGCGATACTTGGGCTGTCAGACGAGCGCCGACGTGGAGGACGCCGACACTCAGGCCAAGCGGGCGTTCACTCTGTCGTTGGCCGCCATTCTCGGCGACTCGATCTACAACTTCGGGGAACTCCTGCAGCACCCGATTGTGGACGCCATGCGCCCCGAGAACCTCTACATCAAAGAGCTGCTGCTGGCCTTCAATAGCGGCGATTTGGCCCGTTATGAGGCACTGCGCCCGCAGTGGTCACAGCAGCCGGACTTAGCCAAGAATGAGATCAAAATGCATGAGAAGATATGTCTGCTGTCGCTCATGGAGATGACCTTCAAGAGCAACACCGGTGTCATCACATTCGCCGAGATCTCCGCTCAAACCCGACTCCCGATCGACAAAATCGAGTTACTGGTGATGAAAGCCCTGTCCCTCGGCTTAGTGAAGGGCACCATCGATGAGGTCGAGCAGACGGTGCACCTGTCGTGGGTTCAGCCCCGGGTGCTCAACAAGAGTCAGATCGAGTCCATGAAGAATCGGCTCGACGTGTGGTTCAAAGAGATTAATGTCATCGAGAATCTGCTCGAAAAGAGGGCTCAAGAGATCATCAATTGATTCAATGACTTGTTTTTTATTTAAATATATTTTTCGGCTTTAAAAACATTATTTAATAACATTTTTCTAATGTATTATTCAAACAAAAACCGCTGTTTTCTGACATTAGATTTCAATTTTAATTAATTAAAATAAAACTGATTTTGTTTTTTCTATTTTAATTTGTCGCTTATTATCTAATGTAATGCCATAATTGTAATAAGTTTATAATTATTGAGTTAATCCATGAATTCATGTAAATAGTGCTCAAAATCAAATGCTAAACACTTTCAAAGTTTTTGTAAAACTTCTCGCAAACATTCAAATGACAATAGTTTTGTGTTTTGGGCGCTTGGAGTCGACACTCACCTACCGGTCCGATACGGACTAAACGTCAACACAACACAAACCTATAGTTGTCTAAAACATTGTGAAAAACTTATAAATTATATAAATTTAACACTAATCACAATTAATAATGAACTGAAAAATATAATAAAATGTGTGAAACTGATTGCCAGCACTCGGACACGACTTTGTGGACCAAATGAATGGCAGTATTATTGGTCGTAATGTATGGCATATATAGCGCTGAACGCATTGAATGGACACAAAGACAGTGAGTGTTTGGCAGACATTGGGTGAGCGCTGACTGAAGACATCGCATCATCGCTGCTATCATACCGTTGAAGACATCGCTGACACGACCCATGAATTGGTGATCATTGAGTTGCAATGGCGGCCAACGAGACCAATGAGATAGACTTATACGCCGACGACTTGGGAGAAGAGTTCTCACAGGTTTGTGGTTCATATGAAACCATTCATTGATATATAACACGAGATATTAATTGTTTTCTTACTTTTCCGATACAACCCATAATTGACACACTATTTGATTACAATGTCTTATAATGTCTTATGTCTTATCATACGCTTCTCATTACACTTACATTATATGGATTTATAACTTATCGTAACTTATATATGAATTATGATTACATTTTTAAATGCATTGATTACACACACAATACAAAAGCAATTTTATTTTTCATTTCAATTTTTTGATTATAATTATGATTTAAGTTTTTAAACGCTATATTAATATCAATACTATAGTTAACACACGTTTACGGGTTGTTGTGTTTTTCAGTGGCTTTTTGTTTTTATTTTTGACCATTTTTTTCAATATCTGTGTGTTTTGTCTATCAATTTCATAGGCTTATGAAACCATAGACTTAATTGTATTCACTATTCAATTGTTAGCAATATTTGTAACCAATTTTGAAGTTATTTTTATTTTATATTTATTGACTACTTGTCACCAATTTTTTTGAATTGTATTTTTATTTTTACATTTATTTTATTTTTATAATTGACAATTGGATTATTTTTTGTATTGAGTTTTTTAACGCCTATTAATGACATATTTAACCAAAAATATGACAAACAATTGTCCACAATATTTGTGAACCCAAAACTATATGACAAACAATACATTCAATCTATAGGTTTGCTTTTATATTAACTTTATTTTTATTGATTTATTGATTGATTGATTGATTTTTGGTATTTAATTATTTATATTTAAATTAATTATTTAAATGGTCTATTCTAATGATAATTATATTATGAGTATTAATACAAAGCTTATTACTGTTAAAATAATTGCCAAAATTGTGATAAAACTTGTCTTTCAATCATTAGTTGTGAACTATTTTTGTGAACAATTAATGAGTTTATAATCATTGAGTATTGAATCGTTTGAATCGATAGTTATATAACTTATATATGAATGTGTGGTAGAGTGTCATCAAAAAGGAGTATTTTATATGAAATATTAATTTTTGCCTAAATTGTGAAATTTGTGTTAGTTATTAGTTATAGTCTATAAGTCTATAAACTTATAGAAGTTTTAAAATTTTATTTAAAAAGTGTTGAAAACAATTTGACTGATATTATAATTGAATTGATTATTTGATTTGAAAATAAAATATTTTATTACAAGTATTATCGTTGAAATTTAATGATAAACAGTTTATACGGGTATATGATGTCAAAATTGTACACAAATGTGGTTTTCATTCAAGTATTGAGTGTTATATGAAATCAATATAATATTGATTATTTGTTATATTAAACAGAACTGTAAATCAAAAGTAGTTTATAATTTTATAAGTATTTTCACAAAATATGTTTAAATTGTATTGATATGTTTGAGTCATTTAACAGACGTTTAATTAGTTTTTAATGAATTTAATGATTATTTTTACATTATTATGATTATTACAAATATGATTATTAAAAAAGTCTATAAATATACCAAATTTACTGACAAAAAAAATTGTTACGGTAAATATTTTTCTAGTCACTACGATAGCTAAACATTCAAATATTGACTAATTTATTGATTTTTACAAATTATTTATATATCCTTAACTATAACTATAAACACAACTAAACCTATTTATACAATATTTAATATTATACAAGTACAACTGCACTTATAATGAATTATAATAATAAATGCATGATATTTCTGTACATTATACGCAAAGTTCATAATACTGTAAAGTGTCATTATTAATATTTGAAATTTTAAAGTAAATTTTATTATTTTTTGTTTACAACTAATTATATTTACTGGGTTTAAACTATTTGGTTAAATATATATTTTAAATTTTTAAATTAAATTAATTTTTGTATAATTCCTATCTATTATTGAATCTATTCATAATACTGTCAACACAATTGATTTGTGTGTACACTATAACTGTAATATTTTATCAGTATTAGTGGCTATATGTTTTATTCATATATGACATGAAAATACTCTGTTAAATTAAGTGAATGTACACTATTTGTTACATTAGTTTACGCTAACTATAGTTAACGCACAGAGTATCTAAACATTGAGCACTGATAGCAAAATTAAGCGCCAAATGATAAAAAATGTACACTATATACTATACTATACTATACTGTATCTGGCAGTACACTATACTATTTGCTTCACACTATAAGCATGTTTTCTGTATATTTATCTAAATTCATTATAAAGTATTCTTAACTCATATTGTGAACAAAACTATGTTTTTCTATATTTTTAAGTTTAATTTTCAATAAATTTGTTTGAAACTGAATTTTGACTACAAATTCTGTATAACAAACTATGCAGTAATTATTTAAACAAATTTTTTGAAAATTATAAATATTAAATACATAAACTATGAATTTAGTATAAATGATATGCACAATAGCCTAGAAAACAATACATTATATAACCATAAATTGAATTATGTATTGATAATTTCATATCTAAAAAGTAATTTTCATAATAAATACACGAAAACACTTTTCACTTGCGATGAAAAGTTTGAAATGTAATTAACTTTAAATGTAATTAACTTTAAATGAAAACCCATTGATTGAAACACTATTAGGAAAACGATTACAACGAGTCGGGGCTCGACTTATACGACGATGTGATCACACCGTCAGCTAATATTAAGAGGGGTACGGATGACGAAGACTATGGTCTGCCACAAGACAATGGCAACTCTCATCACGTGAACAACAATGACGCCGGCGGTGATGGCGTCGGCATTGGGGGTTCCGGTGGCCCGCCGTCCAAGAAGATTGGCCTCTATGTGGGCAACCTTTCCTGGGTATGTGTCCGTCCACTCACTCACTCCGACAACTCATCTGAAGCTCATGTCTTAGCGTTTATTCAATGGTTTTGTGAAATGAATGTGTCTTTTGTTTTGATTGCAATTCCAGTGGACAACAGATCAGGACGTGACGGATGCTGTCCTCGATTTAGGAATTCAAGACATCTTTGAAGTGAAGTTCTTCGAGAATCGAGCCAACGGTCAGTCGAAAGGGTTTTGTGTGATAACCCTGGGATCAGACAGTTCTGTGCGCACTGTCATCGAGAAGTTACCCAAAAAGTGAGACATTTTTTGTTGCAATTAATTGTTTCGTAACTCATTTTATTGTTTTATTTACACTCAAAGCGAAATTCATGGCCAGAATCCGGTGGTTACGCCATGTAATCGACAAAATCTCAATCACTTTGAAATGCAGTCCAGAAAGACGGCTCCGGGAGGCCCCGGTGGTGGTCCCCAACACGTGGGCGGACAACAAAGCTTTCCCAACCAAAGAGGTCCGCCTCCCAGCGGAGGCATACGTCCGCCTCTTATTCAACGCCCGGTCAGACCCAATGGTCCACTAATACCCGGTCAGCCACGTATGGGAATGCCTCACCAGGGAATGCCGTTCGGTGGCGGACAACCCCAATGGGGTCCCGGTATGGGTCCTAACCCGCCGCCGCGTCCACCCGCTCCCATGCATCCCGGAGCTCCACCCGGAATGGGAAACATGCCGTTAATGCGATTACCACCGCAAGGGCCGCAAAGAGGACCCGTTCCCAATCAGCCATTACTTCGCGGTCCCAGTACTCAAAACGATCCGCGATCACAAATGTCACATTCAGGCCCACCCGGTATGCCTGACTGGAATGACCCACAGGGCCATAATCCACACGGACCTCCCGGCCCGCCTGGCCCTCATAATATGATGATGCAGCAACCGGGTCAGTCACAACCCAACCAATCAATGCCCCCCAGAGTTCCGAACAACGACTTCTCAGGTTTTTTCAAATTATTTTCAACCGTTTTGCAAATTAACTCATTAGGTGTCTGTCTGTCTACAGGTCCTGTGCCGGGAATGCCAGTGCCAGGCGGCCCCCACTCTGGTCCGGCTCCACACGTGAATCCAGCCTTCTTTCAGGCACAACATCACGCATCGATGGCTCCCCAACAGCAGACCGACCAGTTTGGGAACCGTATGCCACCCGGCGCTGTACAGTACGGACACGGAGACTACCGCGGTGGTCCAGTGGCCAATATGGAGGTGCCCATCACGATGCAGATCAGCGAACAGGAGTTTGAGGACATTATGGATAAGAACCGTAAGGTCTCGAGCTCTGCCATCGCTCGGGCCGTAACAGACGCCGCTTCGGGTCAGTTGTGTTTGATATGCAATTCATTGCTTGAAATGACTAACCGTTTGCCTAATTGTGTTGACGTACAGGCGATTACGCGGCCGCCATCGAGACACTGGTGACCGCCATATCTCTGATCAAACAGTCAAAAGTGGCGAACGACGAGCGCTGCAAACTCCTCATCAGTACACTGCAGGAGACGCTGTCGGGCATAGAGTCGCGCTCTTACAGCAACTCTTCGCGCAAGGATAGGCCTCGTAGTCGAGACCGGTCTCCACGGGAGCGCACGTCCCGGCGCGAGAAGTCACGACGCGATCGCTCGCGAAGTCGTGAACGCGATTATCGGGACAGAAGTCGCGACAGATATCACGATTCGGATCGCTATCACGACTCCGAGCGATATCGTGAGAAAGAGCGCGAGAGGGAGAGAGACCACCGAAGCAGTCGACACTAAACACACCACCAGATCCCGATGAAGACTATTGGTGTCCACTCATAGCCAATACACTATACATTCAATTCGATTCTTGATTTAAATTAAAGTTTTTCGTTCTCTTCTCTTCTCATCACAACTTATAATCAGTTTTTTATTATTGATAACTCTTTAACGCAAATAATGTATTATTTATTCATTGAATTATTAATTGATGGCTTTTTCTCAGTTCAATTGAATTATATATAACTTTTTCCAACTATATATACGATATATAATATTTGTCTTTCTTTCCGAAACCATTTCATAGCACTCTAATAGTACCTGTGTTTCAACCATACTGTATGTAATAAAAATTAATACAACAATCACTTATTGTATATTGAGTCCATGATTTTAATCAATTGTATTTATTGCCAACGATTTTATGTACTACAGACACGACAAATGGATTGAATTATTTGTTTTACTAAATCTTTTAAACCATATTGTAATCAAATTTAATCATTGTTTGTCTATTTATAAGAATTTAACCAAAGAGTACATGTAATTCATAAATGATTCATAATTGAGGTCTCGATTCATAATGAAGTGAAATTGTTTTCATAATTTATTTTATTTAATTTACTTCAAAAAAGTCTGAAAATACCAGTATATTTATTTGATATCGTATTTGTAAATATATTTTCCATCAAAATTTAATTAATCTCAGTTTTATGACTCATTTTTTGTGATAATAAAAACTTTTTTATTGGAAAACAAATACCGGTATTATTGTCGAAATATTGAAATTTATTTTCTTTTATACAGAATTACTGTAGTTTTGTATTCATTTGTATCATATTTTATATGAAATAATTTTACTAGGCAAACAGAATTGGATTATTTATAAATACTGTATTACGGTATAAAGGTTTCAAAAACCAGAATCAAATTCATAAATTCTAATTCTATTGCTTTCTATATGTATTTTGTTAAAATTAACTTATATCCAAATGTTTTGGTTATAATATTCATATTAAATCCTTTATTCATAATTATCCTAAATTGACTAGTTAGTAATCATTAATAGTGATGTAATAAATCATTAATGTTTCAAATTATGTGTTTGTGACCATAAAATTATTTTAAAAACTAAACCAAAAAGTAATTCCACAAACATTTAAGAAAATTTAGAAAAATCTTATGAAACCAATAGTAAAATTATTAAATATTGAAATAATTTTAAATAATTAATAGTGATATATTGATTTTAATTATTATTTATATTAATATTGTACAAACAGATGATTTATTGCTTCAAAATGTTAACAAAAACTATTTAAAATCGTGTATAACTGTTATAATGAACACATATTTATGATTTGCAATAATTATGATAATATTTACATTGATTACATTGAAGTTCTATCTAAATTGAACGTAATCTAAATTAGGGCTTAATTATTTGAATACTTCATAAATTAACTTCAAAATCAAAACAAATGTTAAAATTAATTTAATTTTTATTATTTATAATAAGTTTTATATCAAACAAAAAGAATTCATATTTTATGTAAACTTTTCTTTAAATATCTATAAAATAACAAAAATCTGACAAAAACTTAATAATAATCAAAGAAAAGACAATCAGTTTCTGCACCGAAATTGAAAATATAATTACAAAACAATTATATAATAATTATTTACTTATATTTTAGATATATTTATATATATATTAAATATTTCTAGAAATGTGTGTTTCATTTGACAGAATTGCAAATATTTGTCTTAAGAATCGGACGGAATTGTCGTGTCTTTTGTTTCCACAATATAGTTGTCAATAGTTTGCCATTTATTTGTCACACTTTCGGTAAAATTCAAGTTTATATTCAATGAATGAGACGCCGGACTGAGATTCTGGTAAATTGCAGGGCTGTATAGGAAATAAAGGAATGGTAGGTCAGAAATGGTAGGAAATAACAGTAAATTTACAGAATAATGACTATATTTTGACAATAAAAATACTGACCGAATCTGACACAGAATCGCGCGATAGTATACGGAATATGAAAGCACTTCTCATGTATAGCCCGATAGGGATTCGCCAATTGGGTGTCATCTCTGGCACTAATATATGATCAGTTGATCTGTGGTAGGATTGGGGCACATCATCATCGTGTGCATTGGAACAGCTCGTGGGCTTGGATTTGGACTCGCAGTGGTCGACCTTCATGTGTTGGTTAAGACTATACATTGAATGAAAACAATAATCATTATAAATGATACTAAAAATGATATAAAGTTTTCTAATAACTAAGACATACCTAAACTGGAGGGTCACGTATTCCAGTTCCATGTATTTGGACAGTGGTATGAGATAATTGAATTTAGGACCCGAGCCCTGAATGCATTGCAATGTATTGCAATACTGGCGGCCAATCGTAGCGTTCAATTCAATTAATTTGATTAAATCCACAGATTTTGACAAATCTTTTTGTGGCAACGAATTGAATGCCGACTCCTTCTGATTCGCTTCACTCGTCTCTCTTTTATCTCTCGACGCGTCTTCACTCTTCGGGTACTCGTTCTGACTCTGGAGGTCAACGGATCCATACTTGACAGCGAATGTCTCGTCCACTCGCTTCTTGGTGTCCACTATTGTCTCGGGATTTCTTGCCAACGAATTATTAAGCAGTTTATCGTAGAGTCCGAGCGTCGAGTTATAAATACTCGTCGGCTCGCTGTCCACCACTCTATTCAATGTATTCGCGTGATTGAGGTCACCATTCGCTGTCTCCTCTATGAAACTGGTCTTAGAGTAGGGGTCGTCCACGTCGTGGCCACCGCTTAATGTACTTGTCTTTGATTCTGAGTTCTTATTATTTGACAAATTATTTGCAGACATTTGTGTCATAACATTGACGTTATAATGGTTTGTCGAGTAATGGATCGATTTGGTGATCGGCGCCTCGGGAACCGGTTGTGAGGACTGCGTCGATGTGGTGCTCCTTCGCGACTGCTGTAGCCCTCCATCGCTGCAGCAATGGGTCGGACACGAAGGTATGACTGTATTCATGTCCAGACAGCTGTACGGAATGCCCAACACTTGCGGTTTGAGTATTGGTATGGATGTCGGCCGGACTCGAGTGGTCGACGCCGTCGTATACGACGGATGAGACTTATCTGCCGAAGACATTGAGAGTAAGTGTGAGTTATATTCGCATACCTTTGGTGGACATAAGCCATACCTCTATTAGGATTGTGTCTCTTGTCTGTCGACTGCATGATTGACTGCGGGTCATGATATGTGACACCAGAAGTGGACATGGAGTGCGTGAATGGATTCAATGGACTGTTTGTATATACAGGTGATGAATGTGTGTTGTGATTAGAAAATGTCTGCAATGGCTGTGTGTCTAGTAATGGCTGATGATGTGAATGTCTTCTATGGTATTCGAGTACATATAATGTGGCGATAGATGCGAGGCTTTGGAGCAAAAATGAGATCATTTTAATTCGGATTCACAGAAACATAAGATCCGTCTGAAAATACTCACCAAAAGGCCATAATTAATACTAAGACCATTATAATGGTTTGAATGAATTTATTTGTGCAAACGGTAGGCGTCGAGGACACGCTATTGCGGTGTCGGTGCTTATAATGTCTATAACACGTCCGGGTATTGTGTCGGTTATTATAACTACTAAAAAGTTTAAAAGAAAATTTCAAATCAGTCAATTTAGACCACAAACAACTCTCAAGTAAACCATACCTTGAATTACAGGTAACAGTGCTTCCACTGGCGATACTGGAGGTCGAGATGACACTCTTGATGGAGTCAAACCGATTGAATTTATTGAGCTTATTGTTCATTCTCTCCAATTCATCGATTCTTGTCTCCAAATTGTCGGTCACTTTACACAACTCCTTAACAGCGCCGACATTCTCCATGAATATGCGGTCCTTATTGACGACCAGGAAGTTCTCAATGGTCTCGCCGTCCGGCAGCACAACATCGCCCGTCTCTTTGACGGCGTCGGGCAATATCTGCTGCACCTCTTGCGCCAAAACTCCCGTCCCATTGATCTCATCGTTGGTAAGTCCGACCTCTTTGGCGAACTGCGGCTTAAACTGATACCTAACGATCCGCATGTTCTGCACGTTCTTCAGCTGCTCCTTAGTGTCCAACTCTTCAATGTTTGTTTTGGCCCTTTGGTCGGACGGCTGTATGATATGACCCGTCACTTTGACGTTGCCGTAGACCACGAGTGACTCGTCGGGCCGGTCGGTGTTGACGCCGACCCGTCCCGCGTGGTATATGGACTCAGGCGAGTGACCCTTTTGCCACGACAACTCTATGTCATTCTCAAACTGACCCGGATTTGAGGCCTAACCACACAAACACAGCACAAATCAATTGAAATACTTATCAGTTATTTTTTATTTAAAAAACTTTTTGAGTCTGAATTAGAGATTTTATGTTTTTTTGTATAAGTGTTGTGGTCAGTGATGACCTATACATACCCTGACAATAATGCGTTCAGAGGCGTGAGCTATGATCTGATAGGACTGGTCGGCCACATGAGCGTGCAGTGCAACCACCAAATAGAAGTATCTCTGATCCGGGTTTGGTTTACCCTTCTTTCGCATGTTGTTAGACGTGGTTTCACTGAAATGCAATCGACCCACAGTTGTCTTCGAGACCTGATCCGGACTCAACTCAACTCTATTCACAATACAATTCAATCAAAACATCAATTATAGTCAAACAGTCGGAAACTTTTGTGTTAACTTTAGAGAAGATTTTTGTAAACTTTTTTCTAAAGTACGGCATTAACTGCACAAATGAGAGGGAAGTAAGGGATCACTTCATGTCTATACTGTTACTACACACTTATGTCAAGAAAAAAGTCCACAAAAGTGTTAATTTTTTTGTAATGGACACAAATGCCATAAGAGGACATACAGGACGGGATGGAAAGCCTTTTTGCTTCTGTCGCTCTGACTTTGTTCCACTTTAATGGTCTGCGCCGGCGATTCCACTTTCACGCCATAGAAATGGAGATAAAAGTTGTCAATCTTTTTGATGCCGTCGGGCGTCTTGGCATAGGCTGGCAGTCCGATGGGCTGTATGTGAACCGTCACCTGGAAGTGGTTCTTCTTCTGGCACACGAACGCGTCGTCAGCGTTACTAAAGTTGAAGCCCTTGTCGGCGTCAACCCTGTAGTTGGGCTGAGGTCTAGAGGAAAGGTAGGCAATAGTATTAATAAATGGAAAAGAGGTATAAATGGAGAAAAATCTTACAATTCTTTAAGAGTAGAGTCACATAACAAAGAAAAGGGAGTGTTTTGAAACACTTGAAACCGAATGCACTGATAGACCGAATCGAGATACAGCTGTCCATCCGGCCCGTACTCGAAGTACTCCTCATCTCCGGGCACTATCATCGATGTAGTCGTGTGTAGGCTATTGTTGCCTGTGTTGGGCTCAGGGGACAGGCCGTCCGGTTCTTGTTTAATGTGAACGACCCCTCCGTTCATCATATTTGCATTACTGGTGTTTTGTTTGCCCGAAATCTTTCGTTTCTTATTATTGGGACCATTGGTCTGACTGTTTGGGTGCTGTTGTGGCTGTTGTTCGGGTGAACTGATGCACTCACAGGCGGCCAAATAGTCATCGCCTGTGCCATAGAGGGTCGTCAGGTGTCCCGCTGCTGGCGGTCCCAGACCTGTAGGTGCGGGAGTGGCCTGTATGCCCAGTGGGCCCGGTATGGGAACCATTTGGTTGATTGGCGGCACATCTTGCGGTATAAGAGTGACCGGATGCGAGTGCATGGGTGGCAGTCCTGTCATTGGCTGCTGAGGCTATCGTAAAAATGATATAATAATTAAACTTTTGTTAAAAGAGACAAAATTATGTCATACCGAAAGGTGTGGCGGTGTAATCGTCAAAGAGGTCTCATTTTGTGGCATAAGTTGTTTGAGTGAATTGTGATTATAGTTAATGAATTGCTTCATTCCCTCCAATCCCTGTCCGAGCATTATGTCCGATGGGTTAGTGGGTTGTGGACCAACACTGTTCGCACTGTTCACTAGTTTGTCGTCATTTAGTGGTGAAAAGGGCGGCTCTGATCCGGAATCGGGCGGCGAATCCGGCAAATGATGTCTGGGCTGACCGTTCGTGTGTTGCGGTGGGGGCTGTGGTACTGGAGGACCGTTATGTCCTTTATAGCCGATATGGGTAATTGTGACCGAGTTATTGATGGGCGGCGGGTGTACTGTCACTGTTTGGCGCAAATGTGGATGAGTTTGTTGTTGTGGATGAGGGTTGGGATGAGTTAATGGCGATTGCGTGAGATTTTGCTGATTTCTGGACTGAGATTTCGGTGATTTATTGCTATTATTGACGGCAAGTGTGACCGTTGTTGTGGTGGTTCGAGGGGCCGGTGTTGGTCCCGGAATCACTCCCGGCTGACCGGCGTATTGCTGCGATAGGGGCGGACCCTGTGGTGGTGGCGCACCCGGATGTGGGGCCGGAGGATGTTGGCCTGGATTTGGGCCGACTTTGATTGCACTTCTGGCCGATTCTTCGAGCCTGAGATCACTGCTAACTAACGCTTCTTGGAAATAGCTGTCAGTATAAGGAAAATAGGGATTCAAAATGTTATCATAAGTTTGGAAACTCTTTCTAATTAATAAATAGTCATTAAAATTATTAATTTCAATATTGTTATCTGATTTCTGTAAGTTATATAACTGTAAGAATATTTGTGATTATGTGAAAAATATAGTTTTCTGATATCATAAACTAAATATTATTAGAGTAATTGTAATACAATTGTGAGAATAATTCACATTTCAAAAGCTTATTTGAATGCAGTTTTGCAAAGAAATTAGTTATGCCTTCAATAAAATCTATGCCATTATTATTAGCTTTAAAAGTGTGTACTTTATCTGACATTTTTGAATGAATATATAAAAAGTATCATATTTTGATACACAGAATAACAATTAAATGGACAAACAATTAATGACAGTCTGGTTGACCCAATTGGGCTCAAGAAACACACAATCATTTCAATCGATTTTCCATTATTTTGCAATAATTTTCGACATAAAAGTTAAAAATAAATTTCATAAACAATTTTCTCCATATATATCGCAAAAATAGTCACTAAAAAGCTAAAATATTAAAAAAATAATTTTATTTAAAAACACTGAAAAAATAATTACCGTACATTGGATTCAAAAATAAAATATCAAAACATAATATTCTGTTCAATAGTAATAACATTGACATGAATTTCACGTCTGATTGAAGTCAATAGAAACGAAAAACTGTTAACTAAAATAATAGAAAAAGTATTGTATAAACAAAACTCTTTGATATATGAAAATTTGTTATTTCATTTCACTAATTGTACACAAAAATCATAATAAAAATCATATATCAATTAAACAAATTGATTGATTGAGTGAATTAGTTCATACAATTGAAACAAAAGTCATTTTCCAATTAGAGAAATAATAGAAAGAAAACTCTATGAAAACAAATTACATACAATTCAATGACGAAAAACAAAGTGTGCAAATTGTGCAAAATTAATGTGTAATTAATGGACTAAATCGTTGACAAATCAATTTTCACTCACAATTAAAATATCGTAAAAAATCAATTGATTTTTCCCTCAATGAACCAAATATTTCACTCATTGTTTTCGTTTTAAGATTTTATTTAATAAATGAAAATAATCTAAAAATAAAGTGTAATACAAAGATTTCACACAAATTTCCCTTTTATTTATATATTTCTGGAAATCAATGTTTTTATTCACTTATTCCTCAGAATTCTTAACCAATAGTTATTTTGGACAAGATTTATGAGTAAATAAAAATTATAAGTTTTTAATATTAAAATAAATAAAATATTGAAATATTAAGGAAAGTCCAAACCTATAATTATGGATAATAAGTTGTTTGTCATTTTGATCTTTAAAAATATTTATTTAATAAAAAACACATTTAAATAAATATAGACTTTCATAAGAAGTAAGAAAATCATTCACATTAACGCACAAAAATACAGACAATAATCATAAATGTTTTAATAAACCAAAAGATTAAAGAATATAATTCTGAAAAAAATGTTTTCAAGAAAAGTTTTACAAACTTAATGTTTTAGTAATTTAAATCAAAACCTGATATAATAAGAATTAGTCTGGTATATTACAAAGACAATAATCATTTGTATCAAACATTAGATCAAAATATTGTGAACATTAGACTATTTTGATAATAATTCATGTGATAGTAGTCCACAAGAGTGTGAATAAGTGGACTCTATTCGCACAACAAATGATCACTTAATGACTATTTGAATGTCGATAATAATAAAACAACTCTCAAAAACACTCTATTAGTGAAGTCTTTCTTATTTAACGATATCATAAAATTAAATAATAAATAAAAATTGAATAATAAATGATAAATAAAAAATAGTAGCAAAAAATGAGCGCTTTTAATGTGTCACTTGTGGGAGACGTCTCTCGCTATTATACTGTACATGATTTGTACAACACATACAAAATGTACTGTACCTAATATTACATTTAATCTCTCTCTCTCTCTCTCTCTCTCTCTCTCTCTCTCTCTCCTCCAATTATAATAAAATAATTATAATATTTTCAGATTTTATAGATTAATCGAAACAAAATATAAAAATAGAAACACACTATTTGTCAATCACTTTACAAATGAATGAATTAATTCAATATAATCTTTAAAATACAAAAGACTTATCAATAACACAAAAGCAAACTAAACTCAGAGTAAATGAAAAGCAATCAATTGGCACCTTAGCTCTCTGTCTAGCTATTTGATTAAATAATTTAAGATAAACCCATAATATTTTTTATTGAAAGAAAGAGATCCAAGAATTTGTATAAAAATTAGAAATTTGTTATTCAAGAGTCAATGGCTTACCTTATTATATAAGAAATAGCTTTTTCTACATTAAATTTTAAGAGTAATTTTAGAAGTGATTATCACAAACACATAATATGTTTGTGAAACACAATTAGGGCATGAATTTAAGTATAAACTAAATAAATATATAAAACTTGTAATTTTGTAGACATTTTCATCACAAATCTTTCACAAACAAAATAATACCATAAAAAAGATAAATAAAATGTTCCCTTCGTTTAAACATTAACTCTATTATGTTGTCTATAAATTATCAATGAGAAAAACTTATGAATAAATTTCAATTAACAATAAATATTTAATACAATAGATTTCTAGAAACATAACAGAACTTTAAACTCAATCCTAAAAACAGAAATTCTTTAAAATATTATATAAAAGTTTATAAAGATTAGTAAAAACCGCAAGTAATAGCTAAACCTATAATAAGCTATTTTATGGAGAAAGTAAATGAAATAAATTAAATGCCTATATTGTAAAATGTGATTTTAATTGAAAATGGACAATATTTACAATACAAAACAAATATAATAAATATTCATAACCAAAATCTATGACTTTTATTCACAGGAATCTATAATACTTAGCCTATAATTGTATGTAATTTATTTATATCGTAAATTCAAATTGTTAACACTATTTCATTGAATATAATTCAGACTCTCATTTATTTTTGTAATACTGTATTGATATATTGAAATAAAACAATAAAACTTTCGTAAAAGATTCATTCAAACGTCTGTACAGATTTAGATATAATACAATCTAAGTAATAAATAATTTATTTTAATATAATAAATAAAGTTATTAAAATCATCGTTTATTGAATTAGTAATAAATATTTTATAATAGTTTATAGTACTGTATAACCTATTATTGTATAAACCTTACATAATTTCAAGACACTTATAAGTTATAACACATAAAATCCATAATAATTGGGATTTTATGAATTTATTTAAATAAGATTCGCTATATTTGACAAACTTTCTAAACTATTGTCTAAAAATAACTTTTGTGGTGAAGATTGTGAGACTATTTTGCGAAATCTTTAAAGTATTGATAAATTGAATCTAAAATAACAGGTCAACCGATAATCAATTAAAATCACTTTTTGACACTTCAATCAAACAGCGATTTAAAACTCAACAACAAATGAAAAATAAATTAAATCCAAAAACACAATAAATGTGTCAGAAATGTGTTGTTTGAATGGTTACAAAACATTGATTGTATGTTGTATTAATTGATTCATTTGTTGTCTAATAATTAAATAATTGATTTTTGTCTTTAAATATATCTTACAAAACTAAACACCTATAAAAGGGTTGAATAACATTCAAGTGTTTCACAAATTCATTTACACAACTAATTGACAACTTTTGGACGATTTATACAAAAAACTTATTAAAAACTTTAAGTTACTGTACTTAAGAGCTGTACAATAAATGAAAACAATATTTATGAATATTTCGCAAAATTTCGCATAATTTCATAATAAGTCACTAAAACATCGATAAAAGTCATAAATATTTAAATACATATTAATGTAAATTCAAATCTAGTCTAAGGTTTTAAAGTGATTTAAAGTGAAAACAATTGTTAACTCCGGTTGTGTTGAAATACAATAAGTGTATAATATTTCTCTGAACGGATCAATAGATAAGATAAACAATTTGTTGATAATTCACTTTTTCGTTATGAAAGTTTTAATTACACTTTTTGTAGTTCAAAGCAATACTAAACGAAAACTATTCATAAAGAATATGCGATAAGTTTAGCAATTTTACGCTCAATTTATGTTTTTAACGAAAAAATTTGTTTAAATATTTTATTATTCACAACGAATGTAAAGTTTAAAACTAAAACTTAATAAATATATCCACGGATTAACGGACTTATTATAATAGCAACAGATTTGGAGTGCAATTTATGTTGTGAAAGCAATTTGGATTCAGTCACTAATTTCAAGATTGTTTTTAAAAAGTTCAAAAAGTTCTCGTTAATTATATAATCCATAATAATAAAACTTTTTAAAATAACTTATCAGCAATCAACTACAAACCATAACTCTCTAGGAATGATGTGTTAACCTCAATATCGATAAGAAAATGCATAAACTTATGTTAAATTTACTTTTTTGATAAACTTTTTGAACAGAAGGTATATAAGAATCTCGCTAATTGTTATCTTATATAACTGTCCACATTTGAAGCATTGCATATAAATATAGATAAAAAGCGTTGACTTACATAGTATTTTGGTTGTCCTCCTCGTCATTGATATAGTCCTCCAATTGACTGAAATCAAGGGCTGCGTTGTCTATACCACCGAAATCAGCGCGACCTGACATATGGGACAACAAATCAAACACATTAGCACTTTGCAGACATCATCTCTATTAAGGTTATTATTATAGTTATGTCTGGGAATGGCATATCATGTGTGGAATGGGTGTCCAAAACCTTAAGCCCTCATACATTGTCACACTCTCTCATATTACGAGTAGAATCTCAATATAGGTATTAATAGTATACATCATATCTATAGACAAATTCTGGTCTAATATTCTCTCATTAACTGTACGTCCAATCCGTAAGAAGTGTTTGAAAGACTCGACGGGAAAATACAATATTTTTTTTGGATTTAATTACTGTTTATTATAAATAGGATTGAAATGGATTTTCCACACAATAAATGTACCATTCATTACAATCGACTCTGTTTTGACAAATCAACAGTCGATTCCCTGTCTATATTGAGTCACATTTGGCACTCGTATTCAAATTTATTGGAATATTAAGTTATCATACAATGGGGACATTATTCAAAAGATTTTCAATCAAAACATATTAGAAATTATCATCAGGGAATTTTTAAAACACAAGATTTGATTCTCCAATTATAAACCATTATTAGTATTTATATTTATAATATACTTAAGTTTGTTTGCAAATCAAAACACATATTAGTTTTGATTTGAGAGAATGATTGATGAATGGGTTACATGATTGTGTTAATAATGTATTCATTTTTATGTCAATGACGTGTAAATCATATTTTGTTTTTTGTTGCTAATTATGCCTTAAATCAAATATTATATTATCTAATATAACTTGATTGGATAGCTAAATACAATAAATATATTTCCAAAAATGGTTTTTATTCAGTGATAAACGAGTGCACAAAATAATTAACGTAAAAAAGTTAATTCATAAAAATTCAATAAATAAAAATAAAATTCATATCAATTTGAGATAATTCGATGGGAATTATCGCCACAAAAATTACTTTAAATAATTGCTGTTAGGAAGTGATGACAAGTTTTTAAGGATTTGTATTACAAGTGATTTAAAATTTATTGTAATTTTCTGCGATTTAGTTCAAATAAAATCACTGAAAATTAGTCTAAAGATTGAATTAAAATATACTCATTAATAGCCATAAAAACTGAAATTTTCGTATAAAATGATTCGGTTAATTTCACAACTAATACTCTCACAAATCATTTGCAATATTTATGTAGACATTTACTATGACTTGAATGTCTTTTCAAATCAATTAGTAAATGAAATTCAAAATCAATTATTGCCACAAATCAATGCATTCCTTCAATATATGAATCAATTGACTATCATTTGATTGTAAATTAATTTTTTATAACAAATCTGTCAATAGATGTGTGAATTTCTGACCCAAATTAACAAATTTTCTTCACAAAAAAGACTCAATTTTTACATAAAACTAAATAATTGATTGTGAATTACACCTCAATATTCAATTATCTGCGAAATATAATCATATGTCGGATAACTATCTGTCAAAACCTGCTATTTATTAATACCGATAATCAGTATTTGTATGACAGGTATAGGAGTAATTTTGATGAATAAAAAATTACTTATTTTCGGCACAAAAACTATGCCTAAAATATAGTATAAAAACACGACAAATATTTATTGTACTGTTCTATCATTTAAGAAAAGAGTTTTGTATTTTTAATGATATTTTTTTTGAATATAATTATATGTAAGTAAATATCAAACAATTACGATTTTAAAGAAATAAAATCACTTAAAAATAAAAGTAAATCTTTTATCGATAATTTAATATTTTCAGGTCATTATTGAAATCTATAATACAATAGGAATATAATATATTCACAAAATAATTAAATTACTGTTTATTGTTGTATAAGAAATACTTTTATATATTCATAAGAAAAACAAATACAATTATTATTATAAAGTAAAACACAATAAATATCAATAGAAACCATTCAATTTATATAACAACACAGGGCTTAAGTATTTTGCATTTTATTAGAATTTAAAGTTTTTACTATTATTTAACGTTTGGTTTTTCGTATATAAGCAAAATAAATAATTATTATCAAATATTTAAATTGTGATAATAAGGGAGGAAACACCCTAACAATTGGTTAGATTTCTGTACATTTTGAATATCAATATAACGTACAATACTTTATAAATACATATATAATTCTAAATTGTCAAGGATAAAATTATTTCTCAATTTTGAAATTAATAGTTGTAATTTAATATAATACTATTTTAAAAGAAATTATTGTTTAACAAATAATTAATTTAAATTTAACAAATAATAGTCTACTAAGAAAAGTGATAGTTATCGAAGATTTATGATAATATGATAATTATATGAAGTTTATTGGATATTATAAAGAGTCTTAGGTTTGCATTATAATTTATAATAAATATGATATAAAATGCTTGATCAAAAAATCAATTGCATAACAAATTAAGTATATATTGGAAATTGGTTATTATAAGAAACTTTAGTGTATACCAATTATAATATGTTAAACAATTACTTAGAAATAGACTGTTTTGTTGCCATCCATTAAACCAAATGAATTGCACTTTTCTAACACAAAACAACATTCAAAATACCAAATAATTAGTTCCGATTGTAAACAAAAATATACAAAAAGCTAAACTCATTTTATATTATAATGAACTCCAATAAATCTAATTAATTTAATTTTAATTTAGTTGAATATAGACAAAAATAATCTAACTAGAATTGATATGAAATCATGAAAATTGCCACATAAAAAGTAAAATGATTAAAGACATCGACAAAAATGACAACTTTCTAAGAATCCTATTAAAAATTATAGTTAATTTTATTATTTTGTGATTTTCTAACTCTATATTTGTAAGTTATAAACAAATAGGATTATTATTTAATTATTATTATTACATATAAATGTGTAATTGAATTGAATATTGTATATCAATAATAAACAGAGTACTGTATATTGTTTGGTGTTTTGCTCTGAATTGATGTCATATAATAAGAATAATAAAATTTCTCAGACTTTATGGAAACTAAAATACCATAAGTTTTTCACATTATTTGATTATCTATTGTATTAAAATTTCATAAAATAAAGTAATACAGTACTTTCAATGAGCGACCTTTTAATGCAATTTGTCTTTTCAACGATTTCTAATACTTTCCGCCCATTTATCTGATATAATAATAAGTTATTGAAAAAACATCTCAAAAGTAATACTTAGTTTGAATACAAAATGTATTTAATTTTCTTTCTAAATTCAATACATAAACACAATATATTCAAAGAAATTATGCAAACAATTGAATTTAGACTTAAAGTAAATATCAATATACAGTAAGTTTCAACACATTATGTCTAAACACATTCCATATCTAAAAAATTTGGCTTAAAATCAAAGTTTAAAAATTAATTTAAGTCTAAATTACAAATATTTTGGTTAACTTTCAATCAGAAAATAAGAAAAACTTATAAAACCTAAAGGTTTGGCAAAAGAAACATAATTGCAAAACAATTTTTGTCAGATTTCCAAATATAGTTATCTAAATATTACACTATATTTAGTGACATTTATATTTTATCGGATAATATCACTATAATGTATGATAAATCAAGTTATGGTGCACTAAACCGATGCCATAAACAAATAATTGCCGAAAATGTCTTTTATGACAATATATTATAATATTTTATACGAAATAAGTAATAAGGTATTGCGATATAGTTATTAATAAAATTATAGTGAAAACAATTATCACTAAATAATTAGCTCAACTCTATTATTAAATCGTTTAAAATGTAATGATTTATTTATCAAAAAAATGTTTATCACAAAATTTTCAATAATTTGCATAAATGCTAACCAAATGTTAATGCATTTAAATATATTAGGCTAAGAATGCATACATTAAAAGGTAGACTAAAAATAAACTACATTTTTATGAATAATGAATAAAAAGTCATAAACACTTATTAAAAACAAAACATAGAAATATGTAAAGTAAATTGCAGTTAAGTTTGGCATACGAAAGCAAATTAAGCACCAGTTTATGAGACATTTGCATGAATTTTGTATTTCATTGACCTATAATACACAAGTCATTGATAGACAGACAAGAATTAGTGACAGAAAAAATTGGACTAATATTAAGACAAACTGTCAGTCAATTGTGTTCAGCAATGAGAGTGAGAGAGACATACAGATGAAGACAACACTGTTTCCTATTAGGGATTCACTACACTATCATTAAATTACATTTGCTTTAGTGATCAGCAAATCTAGCAATTATTCTCAACATTATTAAATCTACGATAAACACAAATGATTTTTTCAATAAAATCTGCAAAATTATCTTTTATTTTGATCGCATAATAGCGAGTATTTACTGCTTTATTTAGATGAGCATAAAATTCGTAATAATAATGTGAATAGAAATACAGTAATCGTATAAAACTTGAGATTATATTCTGGTCGCAAACACATCGGAATCGACCCCTGAATGAGAGCATCGAATAAGCAGAGCATAAAGTGTACACTTTTTATACATTATTTATTATATTTCTTCACTTAAATTAGCAAAAAATAATGCCTTATAAGGGATATAAGAGAAGCTTTTTATGAAAAACATTTTACCGCTATTTCTCTCTCTCTCTCTCTCTCTCTCAACAGTTTATAGTTTTCTTATGAAAAATATTTATATCAAAACTTTTTCATGCATTCGTTATTTGATTACATGCTATTTTCAAAAAGTTTAGACTCAAAATTATTGTCTAAATGTCTCACACGTTATTGTACTGTACTATTAATATACTACAGAATTGTGTATTATCTGTGTATGTAATGCAAAATAATTATAATTTTTACCCCAAACAAACACTTGAACTTCTAATTAAAATATAGTGCAAAACTTTATATTTAGTACACGTTAAATGAATATTGTCTAACATTTTGGTTTCGCAGATTAACATTATAGAGATAAATGTTTAAAATTAATAGTTTTATTTTTAAAGTTTTGATTTCCTTATCTATTTTATTCTGTTTGATAACAAACATCGATTTGTGTGTAAATAATATATTTCAAAAATACTTGACAACACTAGCCATATAATAATAGTATTTAGAAAGTTTTCAAAAAAACAAA